AAGATCGTTTGCCTCCGTTGACTCACCTTCGATATTTTTAACCATAAACCCCTGTAGACCATGCTGAATTACGTGCGCCAATTTTTCCAAATCAGGGTAATTTTCCATACGCTTTATCTCTGAAACGAAATCGGTGACTCGAATTTTTTTTGCATTTCTTGACGCAGGTATATTTTAAAACAATCTATCGACTGGAAAATTTTCGCGCGAAATTAACGTTCTTAAGCTCTTTCCCCACATAATTTAAATCATAACGGTCTAACACTTGGTTTCCCGACTCCCGAGGATAAATCGATACAGAATCCAAATTACTAGGGATCTTTAATGCCGTTATTTTTCTAGCGTCGGGTTGCTTTACTCCGTTCATGGCTAGCTGCTGCCATAGCGCACAAGACTCGCATGTTGATGTTGGTAACGATGGATAACTGTTTTTTTGGACTTGGCTTTCAACAAAAAAACCTGCTATACATGTAGTCCTTGCGGAGGTTAACACGCTCACCATTTTAGCCTTGACAATTCACATATTCCAGTGCAGTTGTCTACGGAAGGAAACTTTACCCATCACAGCAGATTTAGGTTTTATACGGTTTAAATGATACAGCTAGCCTGGAAACCACATCACCGTTCTAAACTTGTTGTAATCTTACCAAACACGACAAATTATTCTTGAGGACAGCGCAACACGAGATGTCCTTCGATAAAGCCGGCCAATATAAAAACCAAAGCCGAAGTCACTTCTGCATTGGAACCCCGTTAATCTAGTCACCAAGAGGCCACAAAAGTCTAGCCGTATTAACGGGGTTCTTTAAATAAGAAAGTGACTGACTGAGCCTTTGTTCGGGCCAGAATAAAGTGGCCCTAATAACGAGGTGGCCGTATTGACAGGTTGGCCGTAAGACGAGGTTCCACTTTACTTCTCAATTCCGCTAGATCAAGGAAGGTGTCTTAAAGGACGTTAAACGCAGAGCAAGAGATTATGTGCAGAGATAACTGGGTTTTGATGAGATCTGTTGAGATATGTATGCCGCAGCTTGCCAGGAATGAATAATAAAAGTTAAGATTTAATTCATGCTCCACGCGCTTGTGGCTTTGAACATGCAACATGTTGACATTTTTAATGGTCCTGGATTACTTCGCTTTTAAACACTGGATATAATTACAGTAAGTTTTGATTGCTGTTGCGTTCTATGCCCTGTGCTCTCCCCCAATTACCTTTTGATCCAGCTGTAGAATGTTTCGTTCAACGTCAATCATTTGTGCACTAACACTTGCATTCAATGCCTGCCAAAGAGCCGATAAGTTGTCAATTCTTTTGGAAGAATTCTGTATCGCGAGCAAGACATTTGCAGTATTTAAGTCCTACAGAGAAAAAAAAAAACGTTAAAAACGTTAAAACTCAGTAGATCAGTACACTGTCTACCGATATGAGTGTACCATACAAGTCACATGTTTTCACTATGCAACAATATTTAGTTTTTAATATGTACCTGATTTTGAACTGAAGAGTTAGTGCTTCCTGCAGTCAAAACCTTTCTTTCAATCTCTTGAAGCTGTAAAATGATGGAACACAATCTCGTTTTTGATTCACCAAAAATGTCTTTATTTATGAGAATGNAAGAGATTATGCGCAGAGATTATTGGGATCTGTTGAGATCTGTTGAGATATGTATGCCGCAGCGTGCCAGCAATGAATAATAATAGTTAAGATTAGCTTCATGCTCCACGCGCTTGTGGCTTTGAACATGCAACATGCTGACACTTTATAATGGTCCTAGACTGCTTCGCTTTTAAACATTGGATATAATTACAGTAAGTTTTGATTGCTGTTGCGTTCTATGCCTTGTGCTCTCCCCCAATTACCTTTTGATCCAGCTGTAGAATGTTTCGTTCAACGTCAATCATTTGTGCACTAACACTTGCATTCAATGCCTGCCAAAGAGCTGATAAGTTGTCAATTCTTTTGGAAGAATTCTGTATCGCGAGCGAGACATTTGCAGTATTTAAGTCCTACAGAGGAAAACAAAACCTTAAAACTCAGTACACTGTCTACCGATATGAGTGTACCATACAAGTCACATGTTTTCACTATGCAACAGTATTTAGTTTTTAATATGCACCTGATTTTGAACTGAAGTGTTAGTGCTTCCGGCAGTCAAAACCTTTCTTTTAATCTCTTGAAGCTGTAAAATGATGGGACACAATCAAGTTTTTGATTCACCAAAAATGTCTATATTTATGAGAATGACCTTGAAACAGAAGATTTGGTTCAATGCCTCACCATCTCGCACTGCATGTGAACCAGTGAGGCATATTAGTAACACTGACAATTAACAGTAACAAAGTACTTCATCAACTGAGCAAAATAGTTACTTTGGTTTTCACGTTATCCAGCTCTTCTGTAACCTACCATAAAGGAACAGACGTTCACCTTTTCCTGTCTTAAAAGTTTTTCTATTTCTATTACTATTTGTCTCTGACCATTAGAAAATGGAAATAAGACACTACGCTATAATTATGGATATAAAGGAATACGTTAGGCTAATTATATTTACAGCATTAGTTTTTTGGGGGTGTATAAAAAGCTAAGGCGTATGGGAAGTAACAAAGTGAAAATTGATATAACTTCGTGAACTATCA